CGCTACACCAGCCCTGAGAAGCTCATCCCAGCGAGGGATCTCACTAGCCCCAGGGAACTGCTGACGCCAAGCGTCCGTCAGGCGGCCAAAGCAGCGCTGGGTGGCGTGGGCACCCCCACACTGCTCACCCGCGCGGTCGCCGGAACGAAGAACGTAGGTGCAGGGACCAGTACCCCCACCCCTCTGACGCCCAGCGTACCACTCACGAAGCTGCTGAGGCGAAGGGATGTCCCGCGAGCGCTGCTGCTGCTGCCGGTGCAAGCGCTGGCCACCACCACCGCCGCTACGCTGCTGGGTACCACCCCGACCAGCTCCACCTCCTCCACCACTACTGCCTCCTCCGCAGCCGCCTCCACTGCCTCCACCTCCGCCGCCTCCACCTCCGCCGCTGCCTCCACCACCACCGCTGGCACCACCACCACCGTCTCCGCCGCTGCTGCCGCCACCACCACCACCACCCCCGCCACTAGCCCCGCCGCCACCCCCACTCCCTCCGCCGCCACCGCCGCCACCGCCACCGCCCCCTCCAGCTCCACCCGCGCCCTTGCCCCCCTTGCCCTTGCTGGAGCGACGTCTCCCACTAGGGGCAGACGCCGCGCCGACCGACTCAAGACCAAGCAGGTCGGCAGCAGCAGCAGCAGAGGCAACAGAGGGCAGCAAGGGGGAAGGAGAGCACCCCTCAAAGATGGGGGTGCGAGGGTCACCACGAGAAGCACCTACAGCGACTATGCTCTTCTCCGCTGCAAGGAGGGCCTTCTCGAGGAGGTCGACGGTGAGAGTGGTGGGACAGACTGCGAGAAAGTGGTCCCTGACGACGCGAAGGGAGTCAGGGAGGCGTGCGACTACGTAGTAGAGAGCGATGTACATGGGGGGGGGGTTCTTAGCGCAGAACTCAGCAGGAAGGGCGGCGCGGTAGCGAGTGTCACTAGTGCGGAGGTGCGTAATGAGGTCAGCGACAGTGGGAAAGGCAGAGAGGTCAGGAAAGAGGTAGGGAAGCATGAGACGGCTCAGTGCAGCAGTGGCAGGGGAGGAGTAGCGCGCAACTACAGCGTCGTACAAGGTCTGAGCACTCTTGTACTGACTAAAGTGCGCACGCTCAGAGGTAGGGAGGTGGCGACGCACAGCAAGACGTGCAGCAGCATCGCGGGTGGCCCACTTAGAGCGGACAGCGGGATCAGCATCAGCAGCAGGGGCAGGAGAGGCGCCAGAGGTGAGGTCAAAGAGAGAAAGGTCGTCAGCCCTGTCGCACTGTAAGAACAGCTGCAGGTCGTCTAACCAGACCTCAAAGTCAATGGCGCGACCCTCAGCGTCAAAAGCTAGGACACTAGGGGTAGCCATGGTGACGACAGCGACGCAGTGCAAGCAGTGGGGAAAGAGCTCGCAGTGTCAGTGGGACAGTGCTCACCAGGCAGGGCAGGTCGTGCAGTCAGCAGAAAGGCGGCTCAGCGACCGGGCGGCTCGGGTGCACAGCTGCTCGGCTCCCGGGCGGCTCGGCGGCTGGGCGGCTCGGGCCAGGGCGGCTCGGCTCCCGGGCGGCTCGGCGGCTGGGCAGCTAGGGTGCAGGGCGGCTCGGCTCCCGGGCGGCTCGGCGGCTGGGCGGCTCGGGTGCAGGGCGGTTCGGCTCCCGGGCGGCTCGGCGGCAGGGCGGCTCGGGTCCCGGGCGGCTCGGCTGCTGGGGCGGCTCGGCCGGGAGATGCAGCGTCGGGCCGGCAGGTGCAGCGTCGGGCCGGCAGGTGCAGCGGCGGGCCGGCAGGTGCAAGTGGCGGGCCGTAAGAGGCGGCGGGCCGATGGGTGCAGCGGCGGGCCGGTAGGTGCAGCGGCGGGCCGGCAGGAGCAGCGGGGGGCCGGCAGGGTGCAGCGGCGGGCCGGCAGGAGCAGCGACGGGCCGGCAGGGTGCAGCGGCGGGCCGTAGAGTGCAGCGGCGGGGCCGTCGGCAGCAGAGGCGGGGCCGCGTCAGAGGAGGCGGCGTGGCCGCGTCAGGGGAGGCGGCGGGGCCGCGTCAATGGAGGCGGCGGGGCCGCGTCAGGGGAGGCGGCGGAGTCGCGTCAGGGGAGGCGGCGGGGCCTCGTCAGGGGAGGCGGCGGGGCCGCGTCAGGGGAGGCGGCGGGGCCGCGTCAAGGGAGGCGGCGGGGCCGCGTCAAGGGAGGCGGCAGGGCCGCGTCAGGGGAGGCGGCGGGGCCGCGTCAGGGGAGGCGGCGAGGCCGCGTCAAGGGAGGCGGCGGGGCAGCGTCAAGGGAGGCGGCGGGGCCGCGTTAAAAGAGGCGGCGGGGCCGCGTCAAGGGAGGCGGCTGGGCCGCGTCAGGGGAGGCGGCAAAGCCGCGTCAGAGGAGGCGGCGGGGCCGCGAGTGAAAAGGCGACCCGAGGGGTCGCTAAAAGAAAGGCGCGCCTCGGGGCGCGCGTCGGTGGGCCCAAACAACGGTCCTAAGGTAGGACCCGCTCTATACCATGTGAAAATAGGAAAAACAGGAATGAATGAACTATGAATGAAAGCAGTACAAATATGAAACCCTAACTGGGTTGTACCCCCTATGGGATACCCCACTACAGCCTACACAGCAGTATAAGCTATAGATATGTTCTGACACTCCTCGCCGCACTCTTTAGTGCAACAACTCATAACAGGCTTAGCTTCCTTGAATGAAATAGGAGTGCGGTTGTACCTAGTTGTGTACGCTAAAAGTAAGGATGTAACAATTCCCAGTCATCTTGTTACGGTATTTGAGACACCTTCGAGTACTCACAATTTGAAGATTTTGAGACACTAATTTATGACAAAGCTTAGGTTGAGTAAGGTAAGGGCGGGTCACAACTCATGTATCACTGTGAAGTTGTGTTTCAATGAGGTGTAGTAAGCAAACCAGTCCAGATTGCACACCACCGTGATCAACCGCAATAAGCGAGTGTAATGAAAATTCCTTCTCCGTATTTTACGTCCCTGCTCAGCGCGTACACCACCGTTCCCAGCACCCAACAGTAAACCGTTACCACTCGCATCGACACTGTTCCCGCCAATGTTCCCATCACGACCCAACCTCACGGTTCGGTTGGTAACCCGCGCTCCGGACCTCCGCCTCGACATTTTCCCAACCTCGGTGTCAGTGTCAGAATATTATCTTATTGTTCTAGCCTGTAGTGGGGTGCTCTATAGCGAGTACAACCCTTCTAGGGTTTGCTATTTGTATCCTCATTCTTGCTAGTTCAATCCTCTTTCTTTCTTCAAACTTTGACATGCTATCAGAGCAGGTCGATCCCCTTGGATCGATCCTGTGGGTGGGTTTCCACCTCGCTTCCGCTGCTACCTTTCCTTCCCGCCGTGCGCCCCGAGGCGCGCGGCGGTTTTCCTTCCCGCCGTGCGCCCCGAGGCGCGCGGCGGTTTTCTGCCCGCCGTGCGCCCCGGGGCGCGCGGCGGTTCTTTGCCCGCTGTGCGCGCCGGGGCGCGCGGCGGGCGTCTGCTCTACGCCGCGGCCCCGCCCTACGTCGCGGCCCTGCCCGACCGTCGCGGCCCCACCCTACGTCGCGGCCCTGCCCCTCGTCGCGGCCCCGCCCTGTGTCGCGGCCCCGCCCCTCGTCGCGGCCCCGCCCCTCGTCGCGGCCCCGCCCTACGTCGCGGCCCCGCCCTGTGTCGCGGCCCCGCCCCTCGAAGCGGCCCCGCCCTACCTGTCGCGGCCCCGCCCTGACCGTCGCGGCCCCGCCACTCGTTGCGGCCCCGCCCCTTGTCGCGGCTCCGCCCTCCAATCAGGTCCGTGGTGGGCCCTTTCCTCCACACCCCCCCCCCCCCCCCCCCCCTCCCTCCCATTTCCCGTCGCCTGTTGCGGCTCCTTCGGGGGCCGCAAGCGGCCCCCTCAGGTCGCCTCGACAGACGACGGGAGGGGCGAGCTGTGGGGTGGCGGGTATGGGGGTGGTCGGTGTGCCTTCCTCCCTTTCTCCTCCTCCTCCTTCGTCTCCCACTGCTGCAGCTGTCGCTGAGGGGGGTGGTTGTGTGGGAGACTGGGTTTAGGGTTTCAGGGGGGTGCGTGGGAGTAGAGCTAGTGGTGTAGCAGTGGGTGTGTATCAGGGGGGTGGGACTGTGTGTGGGAGGATGAGCGGAGGTTGCCAGTTTGTCGTCAGCAGCACCTGTAGTCCGGGGCGCTGTCCCGGTAGCCCAGTCGTAGCCAGTTGTGCCAGCCGCCCGTGGGTCCGTTGCCCGTCCGCCGCTATTTGAGCCGCGGGGCCTGTTACTCCTGTAGTCCGGGCGCTGTCCGGTAGCCGCTGTGCCAGTCTGCCTCCTGTTGCCCGTGTGTCTGCAGCTTCAGCCGTCGCCTCCTGTCTCCTCTCCCCTCACTCTCCCTCCTCCTCCTCACTTGCCCGTTGTGACTACCACTAGCTTTGCTTATAATTGTACACTCTAAACCATTTCTTCTTGAACTTGTGCTCAGAATGTGTGGTGACATTGTGATCCACCCTGAGCTTGTTTTTGCTTTGCCTGCTCTGCTGATTACACCCCACTTTGGCTATGGGGGTGTGTCAGAATATTATCTTATTGTTCTAGCCTGTAGTGGGGTGCTCTATAGCGAGTACAACCCTTCTAGGGTTTGCTATTTGTATCCTCATTCTTGCTAGTTCAATCCTCTTTCTTTCTTCAAACTTTGACAGTCAGGCCCGTCGCGCACCCCAATTTCCACACATTACCGCTACCACTATAGTTTCACTATATATTTTTCACTCATGCCTTCGCTCATTGTACTCTTGCTTCGATAGTGCAATTGTCATTCGATCGCTCAATTGCACTCGTAACAGTGAGAAACCCAGGGTCCTTTGGCCGGGAAACAACAATATAGAGCAAACAATTGAGATGGAGGATGCCAAATAATAACAAATTTACTGGATGTCGAGCTACAACGTGGGGACAATGCCGAGACAATGCCATAGCACACCTTTATTCCTTCTCTACCTACCAGTCCTGAAATGGTGTGCTTGAGTGTGCCAACAACACCATAAAAAGCCTACTATAATCCAGGCATTCAAGAGTTGTTCTTGGAGCAGCGCAGCTTCTGGTGCGAAGCCCAGTACCCCGACTGGCACTTGCACATGGGCACGTACGCCTGTGTTTTGAGCAGCTGAGCCACATCCAACACGCACACGCCCTTGCCGCTACACGCCCCCGTGGCCGTGGCCGTCCCACAGAACTTGTTGCACTCCTGTGTGGTCTTCTGGCCTGCGGTGCCCCCGCACTTGGAGGGCACGGAGGAGAGGCAGTTGCCCGTGACGGAGAAGTCGTCAGAGCAGGGAAGGGAGGAGGCTGAGCCGGAGAAGTAGTTGTCCGCAGCGTTTACTTTCTTGACCCGCTGCAGGAAGGCCGGGAGGGGGCCTGAGAGGTAGTTGCTGGACAGGTCGCTGTGGGGGCGGGGAGTGGGGGGGTGTTGGAAAGGAGCTAGTGAGGAACTAAAATGGGAAAAGAGGCAGGAGTTGGGATGCTGTGAGTCGACTCAAAAGGAACTAAAAAGGGAAAAAAAGGTAGGAGGTGGGATGGGGCCCGAGAGGTAGTCGCTAGAGAGGTCTCTGGTTGGGTGGGGAGTGAGGGGTGGAGAGCAAGGAGAAGGAGAGGGTGAAGAGACGAATGTGGGGTCCAGAGAGGTTGGAAGCAGAGAATTGGGATGCAGAGCGGTGGGATGAGAGAGTACATTCAACCGCAGGTGCAAGCACGAGTTGCAAGGCATGATAGGGAGTGAAGAGGAGGGAGCAGGCAAGCAGGCAGCAGACGGGCCGGGAGTCCCTATCAGGCAAGCAGAGGCATACATCTCTGTGAGTTGCTTGAGGCCGCTCAGGTCAGGCAGAGGGCCGTAATACCATCCGTTCTGGAGGTACCTGCAGACATGCAGTCATGCAGACATGCAGTCATGCAGCCATGCAGTCATGCAGACATGCAGTCATGCAGCCATCCAGTCATGCAGACATGCAGACATGCAGCCATCCAGTCATGCAGACATGCAGACATGCAGCCATCCAGTCATGCAGACATGCAGACATGCAGCCATCCAGTCATGCAGACATGCAGTCATGCAGCCATCCAGTCATGCAGACATGCAGTCATGCAGCCATCCAGTCATGCAGATATGCAGTCATGCAGCCATCCAGTCATGCAGACATGCAGTCATGCAGCCATGCAGTCATGCAGCCATCCAGTCATGCAGACATGCAGAGAGATGAGTGGAAGGGAGAGGGTGAGTGTTGCGAGGAAAGGGCAAGGTGGGGTGGGGTGGGGTGGGGTAATTGCAGCATGGTTACCAGTTAATGGTCAAGGCGAAACAGTACTAATCCCTCCTCCCTATTTCCCCCTCCCTGCCCTTTTTCTGCACCCCTCTGCCCCTTCCTTGTCCCCTTAAAAGCCTCACAGCTCGATGAGCTTCGCCCTTCACCCCTCCCCCTTTTTTCCCCACTATCAACACTGCCCCTCCCTTCCACCCCTCAGCCTCACAGCTCTTTGAGCTTCGCCAGTCCGCTGAGCGCCTTGGGCACCTGCCCGTACAGCCGCGTGTCAGACAGAGAGCTGCACAGGAGGAAGGGGGGGGGAGGAAGGAGGAAAGATGCGAGAGGACAATGAGAAGGCGGTGAGTGAGTGGGCACCTTCCCGTACAGCCGCGTGTCGGACAGGGATCTGGGGGGGGCGAGAGAGGCGGGAGAGGGACGAGGTGAGAGGGAAGTAAGAGAGTGGTGAGAGGGCAGACGGGTGACACACAGGGAGCGGGGAGGAGGGGGAGAGGGGGAGCTTACAGGAGTGTGAGCTTACAGGAGTGTGAGCTTGGAGGGGTGTGAGCTTGGAGGCGTGTGAGCTTACAGGTATGTGAGCTGGCTCAGTGTTCCCAGGAATGCTGGAATCTCGCCCTCCAGAGCCGTCTCCCTCAACCCGCTGGTAGGGCAGTATTGGGGGTGCGGGGAAAAGGGGGGATGGATCGGGAAAAGAGGTTCAGGACGTGGCAGAGATTTGAGCCCGGAGGGGGAGGAGGGCGAGGGAAAGGGGAGGGAGGGATGGTGGACAACAAGGAGGGAGGGATGGTGGACAACAAGGAGGGAGGGAGCAGGGAAGAAAAGAGCTGGGACATGGGCGGTAGTTGTTTCATCTTTTACTGTTACAATAGATGCTGTGAGTCAGAGTATTGGCTAGAAGAGGGGCAGAGTGGGCGAGGGAGAAAGAGAGGGGAGTGAGTGAGTGTGAGACTCACAGGTACTTGAGCTTCTTGAGTTTGGACAGCGCCTTGGGAATGGGACCCTCCCAGTAGTTCTTGCTCACCACGCTGTGAGAGGGGACCGGGAGGACGGAGGAGGGATGGGCGTGAGTTATTGTGTGGGATTGTGTGAGGGAGTGTGTGTGTGCAGCAGAAAGGAGTGGGGGGAGGGGATGCGATAGTGTGTAAAGGGGCATTGCGCGCACTGCGCTCACTGCGCGCACTGCGCTCACTGCGCGCACTGCACTCACTGCGCGCACTGCGCTCACTGCGCTCACTGCGCGCACTGCGCTCACTGCGCGCACTGCGCGCTCTGCGCGCACAGGTACTCTTCACATATGATCCGCGCGTGATATGTCGAGGTTTGAGTCGACTCAAAACTCGACTTGTCACTCAAGGGGCACTCCGCTCACTGCATTCACTGCGCTCACTGCATTCACTGCGCTCACTGCAGCTCACTGCATTCACTGCGCTCACTGCATTCACTGCGCTCACTGCATTCACTGCGCTCACTGCATTCACTGCGCTCACTGCATTCACTGCGCTCACTGCATTCACTGCGCTCACTGCATTCACTGCGCTCACTGCATTCACTGCGCTCACTGCATTCACTGCGCTCACTGCATTCACTGCGCTCACTGCATTCACTGCGCTCACTGCATTCACTGCGCTCACTGCATTCACTCGCATACGCTCACTGCATTCACTGCGCTCACTGCATTCACTGCGCTCACTGCATTCACTGCGCTCACTGCATTCACTGCGCTCACTGCATTCACTGCGCTCACTGCATTCACTGCGCTCACTGCATTCACTGCGCTCACTGCATTCACTGCGCTCACTGCATTCACTGCGCTCACTGCATTCACTGCGCTCACTGCATTCACTGCGCTCACTGCATTCACTGCGCTCACTGCATTCACTGCGCTCACTGCATTCACTGCGCTCACTGCATTCACTGCGCTCACTGCATTCACTGCGCTCACTGCATTCACTGCGCTCACTGCATTCACTGCGCTCACTGCATTCACTGCGCTCACTGCATTCACTGCGCTCACTGCATTCACTGCGCTCACTGCATTCACTGCGCTCACTGCATTCACTGCGCTCACTGCATTCACTGCGCTCACTGCATTCACTGCGCTCACTGCATTCACTGCGCTCACTGCATTCACTGCGCTCACTGCATTCACTGCGCTCACTGCATTCACTGCGCTCACTGCATTCACTGCGCTCACTGCATTCACTGCGCTCACTGCATTCACTGCGCTCACTGCATTCACTGCGCTCACTGCATTCACTGCGCTCACTGCATTCACTGCGCTCACTGCATTCACTGCGCTCACTGCATTCACTGCGCTCACTGCATTCACTGCGCTCACTGCATTCACTGCGCTCACTGCATTCACTGCGCTCACTGCATTCACTGCGCTCACTGCCTCACTGCATTCACTGCGCTCACTGCATTCACTGCGCTCACTGCATTCACTGCGCTCACTGCATTCACTGCGCTCACTGCATTCACTGCGCTCACTGCATTCACTGCGCTCACTGCATTCACTGCGCTCACTGCATTCACTGCGCTCACTGCATTCACTGCGCTCACTGCATTCACTGCGCTCACTGCATTCACTGCGCTCACTGCATTCACTGCGCTCACTGCATTCACTGCGCTCACTGCATTCACTGCGCTCACTGCATTCACTGCGCTCACTGCATTCACTGCGCTCACAGCTACTCTTCTCAGGCGCGTGACGCTCACAGCGTTGGGGGGGGGAATGAGCGGCACTCACAGCTGCTCCTGTCTACGTGCAGCGCACTCACAGCTGCTCCTGTCTACGTGCAGCGCACTCACAGCTGCTCCTGTCTACGTGCAGCGCACTCACAGCTGCTCCTGTCTACGTGCAGCGCACTCACAGCTGCTCCTGTCTACGTGCAGCGCACTCACAGCTGCTCCTGTCTAAGTGCAGCGCACTCACAGCTGCTCCTGTCTAAGTGCAGCGCACTCACAGCTGCTCCTGTCTAAGGGCAGCGCAGTCAAGCGCAGTCAAGCGCAGTCAAGCGCAGTCATTCGTCTCTGGGTCACACTCACAGCTGCTCCAGGTTGGTGAAAGAGCCAATGAAGTCTGGAAGTGGCCCGTTGAAGCGGTTGTTGCGCAGATAGCTGGAGGGTGGGAAGATGGGGAGGGATGGTGGATGAGAGGGTTGGGGGAGAGGGAATGGGAGATGATGGAGGGGGCAGGCACCCGGGTAGAGGGGAGAGGAGAAGGATGGGATGGGATGGGGGATGAAAGAACAAAAATCTCAAGGAAACATTTTTATTTTAGTTGAAAGGCATCCTCTTTTACTCTTCCTTTTCCTCGTCTCCCACACTCTCCATCCCAAGCTCCATCCCATCCCTCCCCCCCCTACACCCACTTCCCCTCCATCTACCCCCTAAAGCACGCACAGCTCTTTGAGTTTCTTCAGATTGGCAAAGCTTGAAGGGAGGGCCCCACCCACGCCGTCCTCGCCTGTTCCAGCGATGTTGCTGCCAGGCCGTGTGCAAGAATATGGTAGAGGAATTCGCTTCGAGCGATTCAGTCGAAAGGGAGATGGTGTTTGAAATAGGAGGCGAATCCGTGATACACGGTGAGTAGAGAGGTCGAGGACGTTTCTAGCGAACACGAGGATGGAACAACGAGACGAGGATGCTTTCAACGACACGAGGTCGCTTACAGAGAGACGAGATTGACAAGGCTGCCGAAGCTGGCTGGCACAGCACCTTCTAGCGGGTTACCACCAATGCTCCTGTCGTGCGGGCAACAGCAAGGGACATGGCCGGGGATGGGGGATGGGGGATGGGGGATGGGGGATGGGGGAGCATTGAGACAGCTTGACGCAGACATTAGGGGATGAAGGGTCTATGGATGGAGCTTGGCGTGACACGTGGATGGCGTATTGATTGGCAGATGCACTGAATGGCATCGCACGGCATAGCATGACACAGCACGGTATGGCACGGCACGGCATGGCACGGCACGGCATGGCGTGAAAGGTTGACTGACAGGTATATGAGGGCGGTGAGTTGGCCGAGAAAGGCCGGAATGCGCCCCTCTATCCAACAGTTGTACACATCGCTGCACGCGAGAGGCGGGGAGAGGGGGGAAGCAGGAGCATGGATGAGGGAAGCGAGATGGGCGGGGGTGGGAAGAATGTGAGAAAGAAACAGAGAGAGAAAACCAGAGGGAGGTGAGAGGCAGGGGCAACGGGGAAAAGGGGAAAAGACGCCAGCCTGGTACGGTTCAGATTGCTGCCCGTCCCACCCGCACAGTACTGCACCGCATTGCATCCTGCTGCACTCACAGGTGGCTGAGCTTCTTGAGCTTGGTGAACGACTGCGGCAGCGCCTTCACCTCGCTGTTGGAACTCAGATCGCTGTCGCGTAAAGTGTTGGGGCGAGGGGAAGACGACGGGCGGGGAGCGGTGAGGAGTGGCGAGGAGCGGCGGAGAGCGGTGGGGAGTGGCGGGGAGTGGCGGGGATTGGGAGGGAGCGAAGAGGGAACGGTGGGAGGGAAGGGAGGAGGCGACAACGCAGGGGGGTCTAGAAACTCCAAGAGAGAAATGCACGAGAACGAGGTAATTGGCCAGACGAAGCAAGCACAAGGGCCGGGATCAGCTAAAATAGGCTTCAGATGGGAGGTGCGAGACCGGAATGTGACCGGCTTAGTGTGTGGAAGCTAACAGGGTGCTCCGCTCACAGGCGTTGGAGCTGTTCGAGTGTGGATTGGAGGGTGAGGCAGGGTGGGAGGGGGTGAGGCGGGATGGGAATGGGTGAGGCGGGATGGGAACGGGTGAGGCGGGATGGGAACGGGTGAGGCGGGATGGGAACGGGTGAGGCGGGACGGGAATGGCGTCTGGAGCCTGGAGGGGTGAGGGGCGAGGCTCACAGGCGTTGCAGCTGGTCGAGCGTGGAGAGCGCGTCGATGGGCCCCACGAGATTGGCAGACGTGGCGTTGCTGCGCGCGGAGATTCGGAGAAAAGGAATAGGGAAGCAAAGGGCGCGAAACACGGAGATACGGGGCGGAGGACACGCAAGCACGGGGCAGGGAATACAGAGGCACGGGAAGCGACAGGGGCAGACGATGGGATCTTTAATTCCGCGGGGAGGCAGAAGGCGCATCATAGGTGACGAATTCCTCGTTGCGTTTTACTACAGTAGTCATAAGCTACACTTCTGCTCTTCATCAAAAGTTTGGAGCAAAGGGATGAACATCATAGCAGGCAGTGGCCACTATTGACACGTGATAGAAGCAGTGTTTTGAGGCGTCTCAAAACGCCATGGCGGGCATTCGAGGTTAAGAGTTGAGGTTGCGACCGCTGGTCACTTTTGACAAATTCATAAAAGCAGCTCAGCGGACCTCAGGCTTCGGTCGCGACTCCGCTGCGACGTAGCGACGCACTCATCGTCGCACGGCACTCACATGGCGACGATCTTGCCCTCGGCGTCGCACGTCACGCCGCGGTACTTGGAGCACTTGTCGGGCGCGCCGCTCGCCGTCCACGACTTGAACACAAAGTCCTTGCCCGACTGCGCGCCGAGCTGACGGAGAACGTCCACTGACGGACGGAGGTGGACGGAAGGGATGATGGACGGGGACGGAAAAGGCGTCGTGAATGATGAGAAGGGCGACTAACATTGCTTCAAGAACTGCGCAGGAAAAAAAGCATTCCACCCAACGACGGACAGACACGTACGCTGCGACTTGAGGATGGTCGGATCGGACGACGAGGCCACGCGGATTGCGTCGCCTGTGGGGAGGAGAGTCGCGGCAAAGATTGCGATAACGGAGACGAGCGCCAAAAGCGCCAGCCGAGGCAGACGCGAGAGCGACGCGATCGAAGCCATCGCCTGAAGAAATCTCTAGAGTTACTGATGAAGGATTCAGGACCTCGTGGAGGACGGATGACGTGAAGATATGTCGAAGGTTAACCGGAAGTTGGCGACTATTAAGATGAAGTAAGGGTATGGCAAGTCGTTGCGGTGTTCAACCTAAGGGCGGGTGTAACGGGATAGTCGAACTCGGGTGATCGTACGGAGCTTCTGGGAATATCATATCGATAGCAGTGGTTTCTTTATACCGTACCGCTGATGTTCAGGCGGGAACAGTGCGAGGGAAGGCGAAATGGAGGGAGAGGGCGGACCTGTGGGGGTAGCAGCGCAAGCGACGGCGGGAGGTGATGCCTGGTTGGCTGCATCGATATGCATTTGCCTCCTGCTCGAAGCGCGTGTCCCATCACACAAGATTATCGAACCGCATGCCATCCCATCCGCAAGGCTTCTCGAGCCATCGCCGTCAAATTGGAAAGTTGTTGACCGTAGGCGACGGCGCTGCAGCACACCGCGATTATTGGTGCTTTGACTGGTGCAATAATCGTGTGACTGTTCTGCTGCTCACAGCAGTTCTGTACGGAGCATTTCGCGAGCAAAGTTGTGCATCCGTTACATTCATTTTAAGTCAGCCTGGAGTGTTGTAGCATTTACACTGCCTCCTCATATCGAGAACAGCCCTTCGGCGCATCGCACGGCGAGAGATGCTCAGATTCAGCTCCCTCTCATTTAGGACGTGTTCGAACATGTGTTTGGTTGCTCCTGTGGTCGAACATCTGGCTTCGTCAATGGCTTGCGACATCTTTCACCGGGTAACACATGAGACCCCACATTGCAAATCAGAGAGGCTTTAAGGTTTCGGAAGGGGCCCTGGTCGCTCTCAAAGCGAATAATCTGAGTTCGTCAATCACTCGGAGCAAATTGGATTGCACCACATCACCCACGACAACACCTGGTTTCATGTCGCATGATTCTTCTTACGTCGCCAATCTTTGTCCTCCCCTCGTGGACCCAAAAACGTGGGGCAACAAAAGGGCACGGGCTCTGAAACGAGTGCTTCTAGAAATTTTCGTCACTCTATTGACGACGTTTAATGGCGAGAATCGCAACCTGTGTTACTGTCGCAACTGCACGACCAATGCCTTGTTCACAGGGATCTTCCACGCTCTTACAACTCGTAACACATACTTTTGTTTCTCGAGATGCACTAATATGCTCGTAACACATTGGTCCTCTCCGTGATTATTGCATCAAAGCACAAATAATCGTCGTGCGCACTGTCGCATGGGATCTACCACAGCACTCTCCGATCTGACGGCGGTGACTCCGAAAGGCTTCTCTCAACCCCAAGTTCCCCATCGTATGACCGTCGATGGGAGATGACATGCGGTTCGATAATTTCGTATTGCACACACGCTTTGAGCAGGAGGCATTGCATTGCAATAGACAGCCAACCAGGCATCAGCTCCTGCCGTCACAAGCGCTGCTACCCCCACTGGTCCTCCAACTGCCTCCATTTCACTCCGCCTGCCCCCGCTACTAATCCTGCCGATCTTCAGCAGTATAAATGCACCATCTGATTCCTCCACCATCCATCCTTTCTCAGTACATCGGCCGCTCAGCCTCGACAGTCCCTGTGCCCTTGCTCAGTCTGAACAGCGCAACGACTTGCGATATTCCTACTTCAACAATCGTCGAGTTTTAGCTTCACCTTCGCCATACTACCTTTTCGTTCTTTTTCTGGTCATCCACGAGATCCACATTCTTTCATTCGAGCAGCTTTTTTCCGTCTGATGGATTCGATCGCGTCGCTCGCGCGCCTGCGTCGGCTGGCGCCATCGCCGCTCGTCGCCGTCGTCGTCGTCGTCGTCGCAATCGCCTCCGCTGCATTCCTCCCCACCGGCGACGCTATCCGCGTGGCCTCGTCGTCCGATCCAACCATCCTCAAGTCGCAGCGTACGTGTCGTCGTTCCACCATTGGCGGGGATTTTGTGTCCTGCCCGGTACTTCCACAAAACGTTATTTCGCCCTTCTCATCCGTCAATTTCCTTCCGTCATCCCCTCCGTCCACCTCCGTCCGTCAGTGGACGTTCTTCGTCAGCTCGGCGCGCAGTCGGGCAAGGACTTTGAGTTCAAGTCGTGGACGGCGAGCGGCGCGCCCGACAAGTGCTCCAAGTACCGCGGAGTGAAGTGCGATGCGGAGGGCAAGATCGTCGCCATGTGAGTGTCTCGCTGAGCCGTTTCGGGGTCGATATCCACGCAAAAGCTGAAGAGAAACCGCAACGAAACCGTTTTTCCGCGGATCGCTCAAAAGAAAAGGGCGACGTTCTGAATCGCCACCTGTCACAGCTGCGAGTCTGGCCCCCACGTGGCAACTTCTCAACTTACCTCTGCCTCTGCCTCTGCCACTTCCCCCTGCTTGCGTATCCGATCCCCCCCGGCCTCCGTGCCTCCGCGTGTCTCCGCACGCAGCAACGCCACGACTGCCCGCCTCGTGGGGCCCATCGACGTACTCTCCTCGCTCGACCAGCTGCAACGCCTGTGAGCCTCCAGCCTCGCCCCCTCCGAGGGAGTCCCTCCAATGCCGTTTGCATCCTGCCTCGCCTCCTCCCTCCAGACGCCGGTCCCGTCGCTTCTTCCCTTCCCATCCACCCTCGCATTTTCCCATCCACTCCCAAACTCTCTCCTGCACCGCACAACAACTCCTCGACTCTTGAGTTCATTAATTCCCTTTTAGCTTATCCGTTCCATCCCAAACCGCACATCTCCATTCGCTCGTTCACTACATCACTCCTTTTGTGTTCCTTGGATCCCGCATTGATTGAATTTTGCAATACGTGGCTCCTATTTTGCATCTCGCCGCATCCCTTTCCCTGTCTAAATGCCTACCCCCGTTCTCCGCTCCTTCCCCCCTTCTCCGCTCCTCTCCGCATCTTTCCACTCCTCTCCGCATCCTCTTCGCCCCTCTCCACTCCTCTCTGCACGGCGCGGTCGCAGCGATGTGAGTTACAACGGCGACGTGGAGGTGCTGCCGCAGTCGTTCACCAAGCTCAAGAAGCTCATCCACCTGTGAGTGCCCCAGGGTGCAATGCGGTGCTGTGCATTGCTGTGCGGCCGCAGCGATGTGAGTTACAATAACGGCGTGAAGGTTTTGCCTCAGTCGTTCACCAAGCTGAAGAAGCTCAACCACCTATGAGTTCGCCAGCTGGCAGCGCATAGGTTCTGCGCGGTGCTGTGCAGTGCTGTGCGGCTGAAAGACGGACTGTAACTCGTGCACGACATTGCAGTGATTGCTGCTCGTCTCATTTGAACGATCTCCTCCCCTAGCGCGATCTCCCCGCATTGCCCCTGCCTCTTCCCACTCTCTCATTCTCTCCTCACCTGTAGCCCTTCTTCCCTCCTTGCTCCTCATTCTGTTTCCTCCGCTCCCGCCCCACCCACAGCAATGTGTACGACTGCTGGATCAAGGGGCGCATTCCGTCCTTCCTCGGCCAGCTCACGGCCCTCACATACCTGTCAGTCAACGAGATATCCCGTTCATCCCATGCCTTGCCATGCCATGCCAAGCCACCATGCCTTGCCATGCCGTGCCATGCCATCCCATGCTGGCTTTCGCACCAATTTCCATGCAGACGTGAATCTTCAGATGCAGAAAACTCTGAATTCCTCAAGCCCTCCACAAGCCCTCCTCAAGACCTCCTCAAGCCCTCCACAAGCCCTCCACAAGCCCTCACACCCCCAAAACCAATCAATCCTGTTTTAACCCCTCTGCACCTTTGCCCTTTCCCCACTTTTGCCCTAACCCACCTTCGCCCATCCTCCCTCTGGTTCCAATACTGTGTTGCCCGCACACAGGAGCGTTGGTGGTAACCCGCTAGAGGGTGCTGTCCCAGCCAGCCTCGGCAACCTTGTCAACCTCGTCTTTCTGTAAGCACCCTCGACTCGTTAAACGCATCATCGTCTCGTTCTAGGCAATATCACCTCGTTATAAGCACCCTCGTCTCAGTATAAGCATCTTCGTCATAAGCATCCCCGTCTCAGTGTAATCGTCCTCATGACTGACCATCTACATCCCTGTCATCAGCACTGCTTTCACTAAACCCGAACCAGCACCACCTCCCAAACTCATACCACCCCGCTAGCTTGCAAGCACGTGTATAGCCAGGTCTCACTGCGTCTCCCCCCTGTCTCCCCCCATCTCCCCCTCTTCTCCCTTGAAACCGCCGTGGCAGCAACCTGGCTGGAACAGGGGAGGACGGCATAGGAGGGGCCTTGCCGTCGAGCTTTGCCAATCTGAAGAAGCTCAAAGAGCTGTGCGTGCCTAGGGAGGGAGGATAGGGGAGGGGAAAGAATGTGGGAGAGTGCCAATACGAAGAAGTTGAAGGATCAGAGGGTGCCTTAGGGGGGACGGAGGGTGGAGGAGAGAGAGCGGAGGATCAGAGGGTGCCTTAGGGGGGACGGAGGGTGGAGGAGAGAGAGCGGAGGATCAGAGGGTGCCTTAGGGGGGACGGAGGGTGGAGGAGCGGGGTATAGGGAGAGAGAGGGGAGAGGAAGGGAGTGGAGTGGGGAGAGAGAGTGGAAGGAGGATGTGGAATGCATAGCTTTGTGAACACTGTTTCCTCAGCAACCAAGTTTCCATCCCATCCCATCAACCTCGTCCTTCGCTCTTTCTTATCTGCCATCCCCGCCACCCTCGTCTTCCCTCCCCTCCCCTCCCCTCCCCTCCCCTCCCCTCCCCTCCCCTCCCCTCCCCTCCCCTCCCCTCCCCTCCCCTCCCCTCCCCTTCCCTCCCCTCCCCTCCCCTCCCCTTCCCTCCCTTCCCTCCCCTCCCCTCCCCGTTTCGTCCCCCCCTCTCCACCCCCAGCTATCTGCGCAACAACCGCTTCAGCGGGCCTCTGCCGGAGTACATTGGCTCTTTCACCAACTTGGAGCGCCTGTGAGTGTGTCTCACCTAGACTAGAGCCTGTGAGTTGCGCTTGCACTGTGACTTGAGTGCCACGCACGTTTTTCAACCTTGCAACGACTAGGTGTGTGTGCTTTCGACCATCGCTCTCTCTTCTGCACCACACTCACACACACACATACTCTATCTCTCACTCCCATCCCTCCTTTCCTCCCCCCTCCTTCACAGCACCGTGAGCAAGAACTACTGGGAGGGTTCCATTCCCAAGACCCTGTCGCAGCTCAAGAAGCTCAAGTACCTGTGAGTCTTCCTCAGGCTAAGGAGCCTTTTCCGATCCCTCCTCCTTCCTCCCTTCCCTCTCAAGCTCCCAAGACCCTGCCGCAGCTCAAGAAGCTCAATTACCTGTGAGCTAATTTCGCTTACACAAAACCTTGTAAGCAAATCTACCCAACTGGTGCCGTTGTGTTCTTGCCTCTCCCTCACTCTTCTACTTGATTTCCTCTTTATCTTTCGCCTTGTTGTGCTATGTCCCAACTCTCTCCTCGTCCTCCTCTGCCTCCCCTCCCTCTCCCTCGCTCCATACTGCCCTCCCAGCGGTCTGATGGAGACCGCTTTTGAGGGCGAGATCCCAACGTTCCTGGGCACACTTGGTCAGCTCACATACCTGTAAGCTCACACCCTCGTAAGCTCACACCCTCGTAAGCTCACACCCTCGTAAGCTCACACCCTCGTAAGCTCACACCCTCGTAAGCTCACACCCTCGTAAGCTCACACCCTCGTAAGCTCACACCCTCGTAAGCTCACACCCTCGTAAGCTCACACCCTCGTAAGCTCACACCCTCGTAAGCTCACACCCTCGTAAGCTCACACCCTCGTAAGCTCACACCCTCGTAAGCTCACACCCTCGTAAGCTCACACCCTCGTAAGCTCACACCCTCGTAAGCTCACACCCTCGTAAGCTCACACCCTCGTAAGCTCACACCCTCGTAAGCTCACACCCTCGTAAGCTCACACCCTCGTAAACTCACACCCCTGTAAGCTCGCATACCTCTGTTCAACATCTCCCCACCCACCTCCCCCACCTCTCACCCTCCACTCACGCCCCTCTCGCCTCCCTCTACTCGCACAGCTCCCTGTCCGACACGCGCCTGCACGGCAACGTGCCCACTCACTCACCGCCTTCTCATTGCCTGGCCCACTCACTCACCGCCTTCTCATTGCCTGGCCCACTCACTCACCGCCTTCTCATTGCCTGGCCCACTCACTCACCGCCTTCTCATTGCCTGGCCCACTCACTCACCGCCTTCTCATTGCCTGGCCCACTCACTCACCGCCTTCTCATTGCCTGGCCCACTCACTCACTGCCTTCTCATTGCCTGGCCCACTCACTCACCGCCTTCTCATTGCCTGGCCCACTCACTCACCGCCTTCTCATTGCCTGGCCCACTCACTCACTGCCTTCTCATTGCCTGGCCCACTCACTCACTGCCTTCTCATTGCCTGGCCCACCCACTCACCGCCTTCTCATTGCCTGGCCCACTCACTCACCGCCTTCTCATTGCCTGGCCCACTCACTCACTGCCTTCTCATTGCCTGGCCCACTCACTCACTGCCTTCTCATTGCCTGGCCCACCCACTCACCGCCTTCTCATTGCCTGGCCCACTCACTCACCGCCTTCTCATTGCCTGGCCCACTCACTCACTGCCTTCTCATTGCCTGGCCCACTCACTCACTGCCTTCTCATTGCCTGGCCCACTCACTCACTGCCTTCTCATTGCCTAGCCCACTCACTCACCGCCTTCTCATTGCCTGGCCCACTCACTCACTGCCTTCTCATTGCCTGGCCCACTCACTCACCGCCTTCTCATTGTGTGGCCACTCACTCACTGCCTTCTCATTGCCTGGCCCACTCACTCACCGCCTTCTCATTGCCTGGCCCACTCACTCACCGCCTTCTCATTGCCTGGCCCACTCACTCACCGCCTTCTCATTGCCTGGCCCACTCACTCACCGCCTTCTCATTGCCTGGCCCACTCACTCACTGCCTTCTCATTGCCTGGCCCACTCACTCACTGCCTTCTCATTGCCTGGCCCACCCACTCACCGCCTTCTCATTGCCTGGCCCACTCACTCACCGCCTTCTCATTGCCTGGCCCACTCACTCACTGCCTTCTCATTGCCTGGCCCACTCACTCACTGCCTTCTCATTGCCTGGCCCACTCACTCACTGCCTTCTCATTGCCTAGCCCACTCACTCACCGCCTTCTCATTGCCTGGCCCACTCACTCACTGCCTTCTCATTGCCTGGCCCACTCACTCACCGCCTTCTCATTGTGTGGCCACTCACTCACTGCCTTCTCATTGCCTGGCCCACTCACTCACCGCCTTCTCATTGCCTGGCCCACTCACTCACTGCCTTCTCATTGCCTGGCCCACTCACTCACTGCCTTCTCATTGCCTGGCCCACTCACTCACTGCATTCTCATTTCCCTCTCACGTCTTCTTCCTCCTGCACAGCTCTCTGTCTGACACGCGGCTGTACGGGCAGGTGCCCAAGGCGCTCAGCGGACTGGCGAAGCTAAAAGAGCTGTGAGGCTGAGGGGGGGAAGGGAGGGGCAGTGTTGAGAGTGGGGAAAAAGGAGGGGGCGAAGGGCGAAGCTCGAAGAGCTGTGAGGCTTTGGGGGGACAACGTTGGGCAGAGGGGGGACAGGCGTGGGGAGAGGGGGGAAACAAAGGGAGTTCAGGAGGTAGAGGGGAGGGTAGGGGGGGGACAGGGGGACGGCCTGCAGAGGGAATAGGCAGGCAGAGGGGGAACGGACTGTGGGTTGTTAGAATGGAAAGGCAAGGGGGATCGGACTGTGAGCCTAGATCGCTATCACCTTATTCAATCCTTATACCCACCCTATGTCTCCCATTGTTGGCTTCACTTTCACCCATCGCCTCCTTGACCTCTCCTCACCACACTCCACCACTCCCATGCCACGCTGCACCCATGACTGCAGGTACCTCAACAACGGGTGGTACTATGGCCCCCTGCCTGATCTGAGCGGCCTCAAGCAGCTCACCCTCATGTACGCCCCCCACCGCCCTGCTCTCCCTGCTCTCCCTCCTCGCCCACTGGCCTCCCTGCTCTCTCATTCACTATCCTGCCTGATCTGAGCGGCCTCAAGCAGCTCACCCTTATGTACGCCCCTCGCCGCCCTCAGTCTGTGTACGTGGGTCATGTACGCCCCTTGCCCTCAGTCAGTCTAGATCAACCACGTCCTGCCTGCCTGCGCACTCCTTTCTTTCCCTGTCTTGCCTGTATTCATCCCGTGCTTATGTTTGCATTCTTTCACTGCCCTTCGGGTCAATTGCCTCTCTGCATCCCACCTCTCTGCCTTCTCTCATTTTCTTCCTCACCTGCTTCTTTCCAATACTCCTCATCTCTCCACCTTCCACCACCCACTCCCCACCCCTCAGCGACCTTTCTGGCAACTATTTCTCAGGCCCCATCCCGGCCTTCCTGCAGCGGGTCAAGAAAGTCAACGCGGCAGATAACTATTTCTCCGGCTCAGCCTCCTCCCTTCCCTGCTCCGACGACTTCTCCGTCACGGGCAACTGCCTCTCCTCCGTCCCCTCCAAGTGCGGGGGCACCGCGGGCCAGAAGACCACAGAGGAGTGCAACAAGTTCTGTGGGACGGCCACGGCCACGGGGGCGTGTAGCGGCAAGGGCATGTGCGTGTTGGATGTGGCTCAGCTGCTCAAAACACAGGCGTATGTGCCCATGTGCAAGTGCCAGTCGGGGTACTGGGCTTCGCACCAGAAGATGCGATGCTCCAAGAACAACACTTGAAGCTGCGTTACAGTGCTCTGCTTTGGAAGGAGGAAAGCGTTACAGCGTAGCATGACATTTCCAGTTTAGTAAGAATAAAGATGCGGCTTGGAGTGGCATCGTTTGTTGCCATGTGTGTCCAGCAAATAAGCCGTTATGGCTCCCCAGTTTCAGCTCAAGTGTTCGTAATTCCTTATCACTCTGAACCCTTCTGCTTTACTGCGACACGGCATACTTTGCTTGCAACGCGTGCACACTTGAACTCAGCCACAGAACATCCATGAAAAATCCGCTGCATCATTATTCTTCTACGCGTCTCACCCCTACCGACTATGTATGACAATTGTGGGTGTCATGTAAGAGAAATCAACCAGCTATAATTCCATAAGGCATCCGCAGAGCCTAGTAGCGAGTGAGCTCCAAACCTGGTCAGCGACCCCACACAAAATCATCTACTGTGCTCCCTTGGTGCCGTACATGATGCATGCGCCAACCATCGCGCACGCAAAGAAGATCGCAAAGCCCGCCAGCATCCACTGCCACCATTCCAGCGACGCGTGGCAGGAGAAACCGCACTCACACTTCTGAAGATTGCCTGAAAGAGAGGGAGAAGGGGAGGTGAGCACGGAGGGGTATGTGTGGGTGAGAGAGCTGGGAGGTATTGACCAGGGATGGAGAATACGCCATGTGTGATGGGAAACGGTGCAACTGAAAATGGATGGAATATATAGATTATATTGTCAACCGTCAAAAATAAGTGGGAGAGATGCAACTCCAGGGATGAGGGAAGGGGTTGTGAGCGAGCGCAGGGCGCAGGGCAGAAAGAAACGAGTGAACGAGGGGAAAAGATGGTATGATGGGCGGAAATGAGGGGGAAAAAGAGCAGGGTTTGGCGAAGTGGAGGGAACGGGCGGAAACGAGCAGAGGATTGGAGAGAAGCAGGAAACAGGCGGAGACCAACAGCTGTTGGGTTTACACCGTGCAAGGTAAAAGAGTACTGCAGTCCGCGCCAGCTCGCCTGACATCTCCAGATCAAGGAATATCGCACGTCCCGGTAGCGGTGAGTGGGAAATGAAGCGATAAGGCGAATTTTTGCTGGTGAAAAGAAAAGAAACCCCCAGGTTTCAAACATTTGCTCGTTGTAGCAATCATGATGGGAGCACATAGCTTCACGGTAATTTCCAAACGTAATCGTCTGCGCTGCTTAGGTCCAGCCCGGGCAAGGCGGTACTGTGAGATCTTCCAGTGAGCAGCATCGCTTAGGATCTAGGCTTAAGGAAGTAGGAAAAACCAGTGTAAAACTAATACTAGCTAATCGCCAAGAGTCTGCGCTGCTTAGGTCCAGCCCGGGCAAGGAGGTACTTCGGCAATGACGGCGCACCAGCGAACTGCGCTTTTGGAGGCTGGCTGACGTCAGCACTATTCCAGACACTAAGGTGCACCCTCGCTTCAAAGAACGGACATCCGTTGGTGCCATGGAAGGACGTACCTCCGCAAAAGACGGGGTTGAAGTAGGGAACACAGCCGGACGGAACGTTGACGAGGTACTTTGCGGAAAATGTGCCGTGTGCAATAGTAACGCACGGACTTTTGAGTCGACTCAAGAGTCACAACATATCCTGAAAAGGCGTACCTCCGTTGAAGATGGGGTTGAAGTAGGGAACACAGCCGGAAGGAACGTTGGCGAGGCAAGTCTGCGAAAATGCGGCGCAGGTGGGGTGAACCAAAGGACACAACGGGAGTGGCGCAAAGAGAACGGGATGAGCGCGCGGATATGCGTCGAATGATCGGAAGCTTGGCGGAAGAAGAAAAAAGGAAGATGGGCGGAAAGGAGTGAAAGGTGCCCCACGGAGAGCAAGGGCGAGGTCCTTGGGAACAGTTCGGGATTCTATCAAATGCCGCGAGCATTGAGACGTTTTTCAGGCGCCTCAAAGATCGTATCAGTTAAGGGCGCCCAACGGAGGTCAATGGCGAGGTACGTAGGGGCAGGAACTGTTCAGAACTTTACGCAAGTTCTGACGAAAGCATTTCGTGCGCTGACAAGGATTCCTTGCCGGGTGCGGTGCGGCGAACCATGTCAAAACATGTGACGAAAAACAGAAAGGATTAACAAGGCAAACGGCACATGTATACTGTGTTTTAAACGCATCAATACTTAACGTCTAAAATAATTATCATATGCTTTCTCTGAGCATTACTATCGGAAAACACTTTAAGTCCAATGCAGGTTACGTCGAAGAATCAGTCGTAGCCAGCAAATAATTGAAACTGCTCAGGCATAGAGATAGCGGCAGCGGAACGTACCACGCATTGCCCTGTGCAGTTGAGGTAGATGGTGTTGTTGCCCGACAAAGTGCACACGTTATTGCATGTTGAGTTGTAATTTGTCTGAGCCGAAGCCAGGTGTAGCAACGTGGCGAGAGCTATGGCCAGCAGCAGCACGTTGGCCTTCATGGTTACTAGAAAACACAAGCCTAGTTTTCTTGGCGTGGTCAACTGGTGGAAACTAACAGACAGACCAGAACGAGGGAGTGGAGAATGTTCAGAGACCAAACAACAGGAGGGAACTGGAGGAGACTTGAGAGACTGTATGTACGTATGTTTGAATGGTCAATGTTCGACGGATAGGATTACTCTTCTCACTTCTGTTAGCCAAAAATGGCAACCACACCACGCCAGCGAGTTTCACCACGGCTCGTGTTTTGGTGTGGATGGAGGCTTGCTGACGTGACACTCGGCGGGAGATTGACCGAAGCAGGTTTGGGTCTGTCAGCCAGAGGAACAACCAGGGCCGAAGCTTGAGGTTCGGGTGAAACTTCTCGACGTGGTTGACCCGCGGCTTGGCTACCGAGCTCGGCTTGGAGCAAACGGAGAGGCAAAGAATTGATTTTTACGAATCGCTGTCGGCTTCTGGATACCGAACGTGAATTGTGGCACGGAACCAAGAACGAACGAAAGGAAGTGCCCTATTTGTTAAAGGGGCACCTCTGCTTCCTATCATGCTTCCCGTTATCTCCATTTACCTTACATGCCATTCCAAAATAGAGTTGTATGAGATGTAGTAAGGAATAAAGAGACGCCATCGTATGAGGGGATCCAAGTTATGTTCCATATTTTTCAATCACATATGGCGATCCAGGATTCGAGTGCCGGTTATATAACATACGCAATGTATGTCATAAATTATATTGTATTGCATTGTAGAAGGTGCATACGTGCTAGATAGACCCCCTTCTGTATACTCTCAGTCTCTATTCGTTCCCTTCTTAATACGGTATGGTATCATCTTAGGTTAGGTTGCTCACTTCCGCATCACCTACACCCCTTGATGCCCTTGTGCTCACACGACCCGTGCCCCTTTAGCGCCCCCTAGCATCCTCTAGCAGCCAGCATCTAGCCCCCCCCCCCCCCCCCCCCCCCTCTCTCTCCCCCCTCCATCGCCCCGTCACGCCCCTCCCTCTAGTGGCCTCGTCGCACCCCAAGCACTACCCCATCGCACCGTAGGCACGCCATGCCATGTGCCCTGTCGCGCACCTACTGTGCGCCTTGCTGCGCTTCGTACCGCGCCCTACCACACCCTACTGCGCCCGCCGTGTGCCCATTGCGCATCCGCCGAACCTTTCCGCCGAACTCGCCGGCCGCGCTTGCAGCTGCACCTAGCAGGAGCGCCTGACGCCGCGCCTGTTGACACCGCTGAGCCTGCAGCTGTTGTTCGCCGTCGCACATGCGGCTGTTGTCTGCCGCCGCATCTACAGATCCGGTTAGGGTTTACCTGAGCTTGTGTTCTCCTCCCTTCTTGCTGTCCCGTTTTATTCGATCTAGCTGCCGCCCCTCGACACAGGGAAGATAGGGAGGAGCAGGCGAGGGTGGGAGGGGAGGGAGAACCCTGGGAAGACCAGAGACAAGGACACGGCGGTGCATGCTACGAAGGCGCTGCACCAAGGGGTGACCAAGGCAGTGGTGCCAAAGGAGGGTCTGGTGCGACAAAGCGCGACACGAGCAGGGGGCCGCTAGCTGACCTGACGCAGACGCAGACGTAGCGACCTGAGGGGACACAGAAGTCAGTGTGTACAAACTCGAGCCAGGCGCACGAATAAACGTGGCCAGGTGCCGGCCCGTCCGGGAGCACGTACAGTGGGTCACGCGCTGACCTCCAAGAGTGAACTGGTCAACCCACTGGTCCTGGAGGTCAGCACCACTCACCAAGTTCGTAGAGAACGAGGGGAGGTGAAGACCTGACAGGGAGCCAGACGGGACCGCCGGACACGGCAGGACCGTGGAGGAGTGTGCAAGGACTGGACCCCCAAAGGGATCTGCCAGCGAGACTGGAACCAGCCGACTGAGCGGCGTGAGGGTGGTGCTGTCGCGAAAGAAAGAGCGGGAAGCATCTGAGTCAAGTGTGAAGGTGTACAAGGCCTCAGCAGGCGCAGTACCAGAGAGAGCAGACTCACCAGCACCTGGAGCAGCAGCCTCACCAACACCCAGAGCAGGAGACGCACTAGCACCTAGAGCAGCAGCCTCACCAGCACCGAGAGCATCAGGCTCTATACCTGGGTCAGGCGACACGCACAGGTAACAGGCACGGTCAGCACTAGTAAACAATACATACATGGCAGTGAGAATAGCATCATAATCAAGAGCATAGATGTGAAAGTACGACGGCTTATGCCAGCTATGCTTGCTTGCCTTTACTTTATTATGCTATTTCTAGCATAAGATAATTACATGCATGCATGAATTGCTTGATTTCCTAGGCTAGGTGCTTTCCTATATTTTATTATTGTTATAGCACCGAGCTGGGTTACGTGCACCGAATTCTGGCTTTCGGTTGCCACCAAATTGCCTTCTACCGAATTCGGTAAGGATCTGTTCGGGACGCTACGCGGCCCGCGGAACCTTCACATAACACCTGGTTACGAGGCCTTGTGTCGAGCCTATATACAGCCTCGTGTTGTACCCAGGTGATTCATTCAATTCATACAATTACAATTATCTTTTCTGAGCTCGATCCTAGATCCTCACCCTTAGTAATCAGAGCGGGTTTTCACGCGAGGTCTTCAACTGCTTAGTTCCGGCCTTTAAAAAACCGCGGGGGCGACGATGAAAACGCCGATACGGATATGTAAAACTGTCAGATTTATATGACATAGTTGCTGTAGGCTATAGTGGGGTAGCACATATGGGGTACAGGGTTTCTAGGGTTGTATTTGTACCCAATCTTTCCTTAGTCATTCCATTCCTGTTTTCTTTACTTCACATGGTATAGAGCGGGTCCTACCTTAGGACCGTTTTTTTTAGGGCCCACCGAAGCGCGCCCCGAGGCGCGCCTTTTTTTTAGCGACCCCCTCGGGTCGCCTTTTCCCTCGCGGCCCCGCTGTCCCTCAGACGCGGCCCCGCCACCTCTCCTGATCGCGGCCCCGCCGCCTGTTTGACGCGGCCCCGCCGCCTACCCTGACGCGGCTCCGCCGCCTCCCCTGACGCGGCCCCGCCGCCTCCCCTGACGCGGCTCCGCCGCCTCTCCTGACGCGGCCCCGCCGCCTGTCTGACGCGGCCCCACCGCCTCCCTTGACGCGGCCCTGCCGCCTCCCCTGACGCGGCTCCCCCGCCTCCCCTGACGCGGCACCGCCGCCTCCCCTGACGCGGCTCCGCCGCCTACCCTGACGCGGCCCTGCCGCCTCCCCTGACGCGGCTCCGCCGCCTCTCCTGCCGGCCCGCCACTGCACCTGCCGGCCCGCCGCTGCACCCAGCGGCCTGCCGCCTCTGACGGCCTCGCCGCTGCACCTGCCGGCCTCGCTGCTGCACCTGCCGGCCCGCCACTGCACCCTACGGCCCGCCACTGCACCCTACGGCCCGCCGCCTGCACCTGCCGGCCCGCCGCTGCACCTGCCGGCCCGCCACTGCACCGGTCAACCCGCCGCTGCACCTGACGGCCCCGCCCCTGCATCTCCTGGCCGAGCCGCCTCAGCAGCCGAACCGCCCGTGAGCCGAGCCGCCCGACGCCGAGCCGCCCGGGACCCGAGCCGCCCTGCCGCCGAGCCGCCCGGGAGCCGAGCCGCCCTGCACCCGAGCCGCCCAGCCGCCGAGCAGCCCGGGAGCCGAGCCGCCCTGCGCCCGAGCCGCCCAGCAGCCGAGCCGCCCAGCACCCGAGCCGCCTTTCTGCATACCTACACGACCTGCCCTGCCTAGTGAGCACAGTCCCACTGACACTGCGAGCTCTTTCCCTGCTGCTTGCACTGCGTCGCTGTCGTCGCCATGGCTACCCCTAGTGTCCTAGCTTTTGACGCTGAGGGTCGCGCCATTGATTTTGAGGTCTGGTTAGACGACCTGCAGCTGTTCTTACAGTGCGACAGGGCTGACGACCTTTCTCTCTTTGATCTCACCTCTGCCGCCTCTCCTGCTCCTGCTGCTGATGCTGATCCCGCTGTCCGCTCTAAGTGGGCCACCCGCGATGCTGCTGCACGTCTTGCTGTGCGTCGCCACCTCCCTACCTCTGAGCGTGCGCACTTCAGTCAGTACAAGAGTGCTCAGACCTTGTACGACGCTGTAGTTGCGCGCTACTCCTCCCCTGCCACTGCTGCACTGAGCCGTCTCATGCTTCCCTACCTCTTTCCTGACCTCTCTGCCTTTCCCACTGTCGCTGACCTCATTACGCACCTCCGCACTAGTGACACTCGCTACCGCGCCGCCCTTCCTGCTGAGTTCTGCGCTAAGAACCCCCCCCCCCATGTACATCACTCTCTACTACGTAGTCGCGCGCCTCCCTGACTCCCTTCGAGTCGTCAGGGACCACTTTCTCGCAGTCTGTCCCACCACCCTCTCCGTCGACCTCCTCGAGAAGGCCCTCCTCGCAGCGGAGAAGAGCATCGTCGCTGTAGGTGCTTCTCGTGGTGACCCTCGCACCCCCATCTTTGAGGGGTGCTCTCCTTCCCCCTTGCTGCCCTCTGTTGCCTCTGCTGCTGCTGCCGACCTGCTTGGTCTAGAGTCGGTCGGCGCGGCGTCTGCCCCTAGTGGGAGACGTCGCTCCAGCAAGGGCAAGGGGGGCAAGGGCGCGGGTGGAGCTGGAGGGGGCGGTGGCGGTGGCGGCGGTGGCGGCGGAGGGAGTGGGGGTGGCGGCGGGACTAGTGGCGGGGGTGGTGGTGGTGGTGGCAGCAGCGGCGGAGACGGTGGTGGTGGTGGAGGCAGCGGCGGAGGTGGAGGCGGCGGAGGTGGAGGCGGTGGAGGCGGCAGCGGAGGAGGCAGTGGTGGTGGAGGGGGTGGATCTGGTCGGGGTGGTACCCAGCAGCGTAGCGGCGGTGGTGGTGGCCAGCGCTCGCAGCGGCAGCAGCAGCAGCGCTCTCGGGACATCCCTTCGCCTCAGCAGCTTCGTGAGTGGTACGCTGGGCGTCAGAGGGGTGGGGGTACTGGTCCCTGCACCTACGTTCTTCGTTCCGGCGACCGCGCGGGTGAGCAGTGTGGGGGTGCCCACGCCACCCAGCGCTGCTTTGGCCGCCTGACGGACGCCTGGCGTCAGCAGTTCCCTGGGGCTAGTGAGATCCCTCGCTGGGATGAGCTTCTCAGGGCTGGTGTAGCGATCTTTGATCTTGATTTTGATGCTATCCTTACTGCTATGTATGTTGTGGATTATAGTGAGGAGAATGAGGGTTACCGCTATTTCCAGCCCGACCCGGGCATTGGTACTGCTGCGCTAGGTGCTTGTGAGGCTGCTGCTCTAGGTGCCAGTGCGTCTTCGCTCTCAGGTACTGGTGAGACTGCGCTCTCAGGTACTGAGTCGTCCTCGTCCTCCCTCACTTTCACACTTGACTCCGGAGCTTCTCGCTCCTTCTTTCGAGACCGCACTACCCTTACGCCGCTCGGCCGGCCGGTTGCCGTCTCCCTTGCTGACCCCTCTGGGGGTCCTGTCCTGTCTCACTTCTCCACTGTCCTCCCGTGTCCGGCTGCCCCTTCGGGCACCCTGTCGGGTCTGTACCTTCCCTCGTTCTCTACGAACTTGGTGAGTGGAGCGGACCTGCAGGATGTGGGTGTTCACCAGTTCACTCCTGCGAGTCAGCGGGTGACCCACTGCACGGAGGCACGCACAGGCCGACACCTGGCCACGTTCTCGCGTCGGCCGGGGTCGAGTCTCTACACCCTGACCGTTGAGTCTCCTCCTGTCCCTGCGTCTGGTCAGGTGGCTGCGTCGGGTCAGGTACTTGCTGCTGCGTCCCGGTCAGGTCCTGAGTCTGCCCCCTGTTCTTGTCGCCTCCTGTCTCACGAGACTCTCCTGTGGCACCACCGTCTTGGCCACCCCTCCTTGCCCCGTCTTCGGAGCATGGCTTCCCGTGTCCTTGTCGCTGGTCTTCCCCAGTCTCTCCCTCCTCTCCCCTCCGGGCCAGGACCTTCCTGTGTCCCCTGTGTCGAGGGTCGCCTCCGGGCTACTCCTCACTCCTCCCACTTCCCCCCGACAGAGGCTCCCCTGCAGACGCTTCACATGGATGTGTGGGGCCCAGCCCCCGTCCGCGGGCAGGGTTACGAGCGCTACTTCCTGTTGGTGGTTGACGACTACTCGCGTTACACCACAGTCCTCCCCTTGCGCAGCAAGGGTGCGGTCACTGAGGTGCTGATCGACTGGATCCGCGAGGCTCGTCTCCAGCTCAGGAAGAGCTTCGGCTCGGACTTTCCTGTTCTGCGTCTGCACTCTGACAGAGGTGGAGAGTTCTCTTCTTGCCTTCTGCGAGACTACTGTCGTG